GCCTCCTCAAACAGGGTGCCTACCAAAAGGAGGGTTTTTACACGCTGCTAGAGTGATTAGGTCTGTGCGGAAATAATGACTATAATACGTTCCTTTGCGTGGCACTGTCAAAACAATGCACCCAAATCCCCATTGAGTTTGTCCCTGTTCAGACAGTGGTGGCTTCTCACCTTTGCTGTGATCACTACTGCAGCTCAGCTATACTGCCTGGTCAAAAGAAAACACCCAAACACACGCATTGCTCTATCCTTTTAATATGGATATTTCTAAATGGCCCCACTGTATATTATTAAAGCAAGTGTGTCAGTTTAAATAAGTGCCACCAGATTCCTTGTAGTTTAAATAAAGTGCCTGGCATGTATCCAAGCAGAGTTTGGAAGTACCTCTGAGTCCTTGATATCAAGTTACTAGGCCATGATTACAAGAAAGCCTGATGAAGCATCTTTAATGGACCGCAGAACACTTGGGGCTAGGGCTGGGGAGGGTCAGACAGATCAGTGGTGAAATGCACCAGACCTTTCACCTCTGGACTCCTGGGTTCGAACTCTGACTCAAGTGGAAAGTAAAAGGCCATGTGCTGGTCTCAACCTCACATCACAAGGCATGTAGGTATGATCAGCAGCTCCAGGCATGAGCTGTGTGGCAGTGGCACAGCGGGCACTGAATGCACTGGGCCTGCCTAGCTATGAGATTGCTGCTATTAGTCCCTCAATTCATGAGCACAACATTCACCCCAATAACAAGAGGATCAAAAAATCCTCCTCAGTGAGATCAGAATAAAATATCAACCTAGCAGCTTCTGAACTCCCCTATAAATAATTAAACTCTATCCAAAATAATCCTCGACTACAGAATCACTTATTGCTCAGCAAAGCAATTTCTATAATCACTTTCTTTCAAATCAGGCTGTTTGAAGAGTGCAAAGCTGCGTTTCTCATTGCTGATTATTAGCTGGCTCCAGATTCCCTTTTGGAGTCTTCTTCCCACTGACACAAATAATTAGCCAATTTCCTTTTACCTGTCTGATCTGTCCTGCAAACAGCATCTCCCCCCTGTCCCTCCGGGACCTGCTTAGAAAGCTCAGGGCAGGCGCAATCTGCTGGGTGAAAATGCCTGATGCGATGTCAAAAAGCAGAAGACATTAATGAAATGCTGCTCAGCTAGCGCCAGCTGCCATGCTTCCCACATGGAGACTATCCAGCCCCCTGCTAGCCTTTGGGAATCACTTACCACAATGGCCTCCTGAAAGCACAGCACCCCCCAGACTGACTCTGGGTTGTGCTGAATGGCACGTTAGTGATCGCTCTGAACCAGCACACTACATGCTCTGTCATCTGGAGTGAGGAGAGAGAGAAGGGAGCCTCACTTTCCCAACTGCATTTCTTAGCCCCAGTCTGAAGAGGTCTAGATGTTTCTGGGGGCACAAAATCAAGGCAAAGTATCCTGGACAGCACAAAGGAACAGGCTAGACTTTGACAGAGTGGATGGAAGCGGCAGAAAGCAGAATCGTCTCCTGACCTCTAACTTGCTACTGGAATGGAAAGGCATTGGTTCTTTGACACTCTCTAACTGAGACACGGATTTGAGCTCAAGGTAAACGGGACACCAGGATTAATCACAAAGAGTAGCCTTTGCACTTCTGCAGCACCTCACAAGAGCAGGTTGGAGAGCTCCTCCCGAGGACAGACGGGAGCTGTGAGAGTAAGTGGGGGTACCCCCACTTGGTAAGACAACTCCCATCTTTTCCTGTGCTATAATATATATTCGTCTTACTGTATTTTTCACTCCATGCACCTGGTGAAATGGGTTTTAGCCCACGAAAGCTTATGCCCAAATAACTTTGTTAGTCTCTAAGGTGCCACAAGGACTCCTCATTGTTTTTGCTGATACAGACTAACACGGCTACCCCTCTGACATCTATTTCAGCGATCCATTTGTGAATGTCCTGGTCATGCCCCTCCTAAAGCCTGAATGTAGCGAACATCCACAGCTCCTCCAGGTCATAATGATGCAGAGGAGCAGAGTTCAATGGGCCTTGGCCTACTGAGACTGAAGCTGGCACTTACCCTTCATGGTTCAGCAGGTTTTTACTAACAACTCACTGTAATTTGCTGCAAGGCTCCTGGCTTCCAGCACCTAATTAACTCCCACTGCAGCCCTCCTGACAAGATAGTTCATGCTAAATCACTGCACTGATATGAGAGGAAAAAACACAGGCTCTACTTTTACTGCCCAGTGGGCATGTAGGGCAGGAATTACAAAGTCACTGAGGGGAGCAGGAGCACGTCCCACTGAAAGACAACGGGAGTTGTGCTCAAACTTCTCGGGCATTTTTCAAAATCCTGTCTCCAAGTCTGGGATGCGGTAAACTGCCCATGAGCTCCTACCTTCTATCAGCTCTCAGTCTGTTAAATAGATTCACGAACTGTAAGGTCAACGGGAGCCATTCTGAACATCTAGTCGGATCTAATGCACGTCCCGGGCCAGAAAACACCACCTGAGGAGTCCTGCAGCGAGCCCAGCACTTTGTGGTGGAAACACAGCCGATCTTTCAGAAAGATGCCCATAAATAATTACTGCAGGACCTCAGGGTGCAAACTCAGACAAAGAAGCCAAGGTGGCAGGTGAGAGATGGTTCTAGGAATGTAAAGGCACGGAGGAATTGAATTATCAGGCTGAAGGCTTGGTGAACATTAATTGAGAAGCTGTTCCAGTGTAATTAGGGATTAAGGGCCTGGGTGTCCCAGCACTTGACACTGTAGATGGAAGAGCCAGAAAGGAGGCAAAGAGGAAGATGTGTAGAGGACAGAGCAGGAAGAGAGAGTGTGTAGAGGGAAGGGAAGAGGATGAAAGCAAAAGAAGGAAGAAGGGAGGTTGGGGACTGGAGGGGCAAGCCAATCGATGAACATCTAACCCACACATCCTCTCCCTCATCCTTCCCCTCCCCTGTGTCCCCTCTTGAGATGAGCTCTTTGCAGCAGGGGAGCTGTCCTGTTGCACCCACAGCATAAGCACATTATACAAATCAGGAACAATTGCAATCTGGCCTTTAAAGGTTACTCTACTGCCAAAGACAAAGGCTTCCTACCATTTGAAAAGCAGCCTTCTCCCTAGCGGTCACCCCCACTGCAGCCCTCTTGACAAGGGATCTGATGCTAAATTGCTGTCAAAAAGAACCAGTCTCAGTCCTCCAGCATCCCCATGGCTCTCTTCACAATCCTGGAGGGCAGCAGAGGGAGACCTCCAGGGGCAAGCGTTTGGAAATTGAAACTCTTCACTGGTTTATGTTCCTATTATCAGATACCAAATGAAGGTGGGGGGCAGCACTGTGGGGAGCAACATAGGCTGTAACCGTACAGTTTAAACAGGGTCTTTTTGAAACAGGAGCATTTCTTTCTGTGTTGCCTACTATACCTTAGTAGCATATGGAAAGGCCTGTCGGGAGCACATGGCAGCAGGCCCAGTTGAATCCCACCAAGCTGTGCTGAATAACTGCCCCACGCATATTAAACTCACCCAAACTCTCGCTGTGGGAAGACAAAGTCACAGACTGTTTTTTCCAGTTCAGATTTCCTAAATCTTTTCCCCCATGGGGGCAGGTTCCAGAAATCGGGCCAGGAAAAGCTGCCCAGTAAAAGCCTGTCCACTGAGCAACAGCACGAACAGGGATGATCAAATAGGCATCTGACAGTTCAGATCTTCTGCATTTAACGTGATCTCTTATCTAGTGGTTAGTGCTTGGGACTGGGGAATCCACTAGCTCCTCCTGTGACCTCAGGCAAATCTCAACCTCCCAATGCCTCTATTTCCCCCTCTCTAAAATGGAGATAATAGCTATTAACTACTTTACAAGGAACTGAGCCTTCATTTATACCAAGGATCAGCATGTGACAGGGGAGAGAAAAGACATACTTGAATGTTTGCACTCGGAGACCACAGAGATGGGCACCATAGCCAGATAGAAACAGAACTTCAGGCAACCTTTAAAAGGGCTTAGGTTGCGGTTCAGAATAAGGTTCAGGTCAATTCTTATTTAAACCTGATTGGTTCACCCACCCTTCATGAAAACTGTAGTCTAGCCAGGAGGGGAGCAGAAAGGATGGTATAAAGCGGGGGTCCTTCCATCCATGCATTCTACACTCCAGAGCAGGCATTTCAGAGACCCAGCTCCAGTGGGTGGCCACACACCCAGGCTGCAAATCTGGAGGCACAGAAAGGATTGCATCATTTCTCAGGCTGTGTCCACAGTGCTGGGAACTCACTGAGAATCCTGCCTCATTAGTTTATTCTCCTTTAGCAGCCTGTCTGGCCAGGAGCTATTGCCAGGGAGCGAGCAGGCAGCATATCACCAGTTCTCTCAATCAAACCCTCCTGTTCGTTCTCTTTGCAGAGCCGGAGGACATTACTGTTTCCTAGTCATGACACAGTCTTGAGGTGGCAATGGTGTCTGTAAGTTAGTATATTTGATACCGAAGTGGCACGAGTACAAGCTCCGGGTCTCAGCAGCAATAACCAGACAATTACATTTGTTTTCTAGCTGAGTGGAACAGGAAAATGACTCACCTGGATTAAAAGGGCCATTTGCTCTTTGCAGCCTCGCTGCATCCACCAGCCTTAGGCACAGAATCATTCTGCACCAGCCTTAAGAAGCCCTCAGTGTTCCTCCTCATCTACTTTCCTACCAGCCAAAAGAGCCCCCAGCAAGTCATCTAGTCTCCTTTCCTAGCTGCCCAGCCCATCTCCGGTCTCTCTCTTCCCCAGATGGCTTCTATCAGCTCCATGGTCATCACGCACCTCGTCAGCCTCCTACTTTACACCACCCGCTGGTTACATCACAGCCAGCATGACCATTGTCACACTACACCAGCATCTAATTCTTTGCACATGTCCCATCCATCCACTCAAGAAAGCAGATCAAGCCTGATGTGCCACGGGAGCACACCTGTGTTCCCCACGCCCCACAGCCTGCTGGAGCAGAAAGCCGAGAACGCCTCACTCACTCTCATCTGGGTTGGGGGACGCAAGAATAGCACTGTGCTTCCTCTTCACTTCCTCCACATTCTCAGAAATTTTATCGATGAACCCTCGAATTTCTTCCACCTATGGAGACATGGCCCAAAGGAACACAGCTGTTCAGCATATTCATGACAGTCGAGTCTATGGGAAGGGGAGAGGTTGCTAGACTCAAGTGCTCCCCAATCTGAAAGCAGTCATAGGAGACCTGGGCCAGGCTGCTTCCTGCAGGAGCATTTAGCTGGCTACCACCTGATCGGCTTCTTAAGGCGTGGCTATACCGTGAAAAGAGACTCTCTAAAGTGCAGCAGGGAGGTTTGGGGCAGGGGAATAGTTCTCATGTTTATTACATCAGTGACTCTAGGTCACGTCCGTTCAGTTTACATGTTAGAAAATGTTATTTCAACATGCCAGCCCAGAAAACTCCCTTGGGATCCAGGAGACTCCAAGCTTCCCAGCTCATGCATTAGCATCATGAATAATGGTTCTGCATCTGGGAAACTGAACAATTCTGCTCCAGATGCACAAGTCAAACTGCAGACCAGTTTGCTCCTCCATAACTGCTGGATCCACAGGGTTAACCTTTTAGTCATTAAGGAAAACAAACTTGGCCGATACACTGGGAGAGCAGATGTAGTGAGTGAGAAGGTGCACTTCCCCACCATACTGCACTTTAAGGAAGGTTGCTGATGTCTTGGGAAGTGCAGTCAGGGTTTGTATTATGCTGTTTTTCTGGGCTGCCTATCTAGAATACCTCTACCTTCAATTCACTGAGTGACTTTTCAATGGGGTTTTACATCCTACTTTTGATAGACTGCCTAGAAATGTCTTCACACACCCCAACACACTATGATAAAGGTGTTCTAAAAAGCTGCATGCATCACTCACAGCCACCCACATGCCAGAATAGAACCTCCCATTTGTAAGCTAGATATGTACAGAAAAAGTCAACCAGTCCCATGCAGCGGGACTTTCAGGGTTGTTTTAGTGCCTTTCTGCTTTAATCAAAGCACTGAAGCAAGAAAGGTTGCAGAGTTTGAGGCTTTCTGCTGCCCCAAAAGATAGTGGCTTTCCTCCACACTGGCATAGAGGCATCTGTTCTAATTTACCAACAGTTGCTAAAGTTGTCACTTTGGTTTCGATGGACGCACCTGGAGGATCAAATTGCACATTACATCATAGGCTTTGTAATTGCACATTACAACATTGGTTCTGCTGTGAAGACTGCATGATTCTAATTGATGCCTAAATCTTTATGGCGCATGCTCCAGAGTGCGACCTAGGAGGAGCTAGCAAAGGCTGAAGTCTGAGCATTGGCAGACCTCGTGTCAATGAGAAAAAGACTCTGTTCCCACTGGCAATTCCTACACACATGACTGTGAATCCTAACAGTGGCATCAACTGGCCATGTATTCTGTGGCTAGAGTCCACTGGGAGGTCAGGGAGAGAGCACCACTTAGTTCTGACCAGCGGCACAGCTCTGAGCTTTGCTGAGAGAACAAACATCTCACCTGTTCAAAGAACTCATCCATGAAGCGATCCCGGTCCACGCTAACGGTGACTTCATCATCATCATCGCTGTCCTTAGCCTGTGCAGACACAAACCCAGACATTAGCAAGCTGCTCTCTACAAACTTCACTGATCCATTCTAAGCACTTAGCCCAATGGTCCTCTCTCAAGTCAGCAGAACGTGGGTTCCCCCTGAACTTTGCCTGGGAACAGGTTACTCCTGTGATGCGAGAGGTAAATGCTGACCCATTAGAAGCTGTGGGGATTAATTAAATTAATGGAACAGGAAAAACCTAGGAAAGAATCAATCCCTGGACACTGTATTTAGTGTGTTACTAAAAGGCTTAAAGAAATATTAAGATCAGGCTCACACACAAAGGCATGGTGAAAATCACCACTGCAACTCATGGTCAAGTCACTTAAGCTTTTTGTGCCTAAGTTTACCCTAGTGTAAAATAAGAATAATGATATTTACATCTTTACACAGTGTGCTGAAAGGAATCATTTGATGTCCTCATACACACAGCAGAGGACAGTTCAATGAAAACATCTGCTCCACGCACAAAACATGGGATAGAAAATGGATGCTATGTTCACTTTTGGTGGTCCTATTGCAGTAAAACCTTAGCAGAAATAGAGGAGGGCATGGTTCACAGACAGGTGACCAACATTAGGGATCTAGAAAGTCTTCAACATGAGGAGTTGTTATAGCCGTGTTGGTCCCAGCATATTAGAGAGAGAAGGTCTCGTGAATATCCTGGGATCAACACGGCTACAACACTGCACACAACAATGGAAGATACCGAATTCACCCACTTCCTCTTTAGTGTAAGAAGACAGTTAAAATATTTCATGCAGAGAGGAGACATGAGAGAGAGAGAGGAAATAATGAATGGATAGGGAAGCTCCTATTTACCTTCGCACTCCATGGAAACAAGGGGAGGTGCAATGAAACTGAAAGGGAACAAATTTACAACTAACAAAAAGAAAGATTCTCTTTTACTCAACACAGAATTAACCCATGAACTCCCTGCCACATGGTATCAGAGGCCAGGAGCTTACCAGGATCCTAGGAAGGGTTTGACATTCATGTGGATAATGAGAATATTCACAAATACTGTAGACAGGATAAAAATAGAAGGGCTCTAAACCCCAGTGCTTCAGTCTACAAGCCAACCATGAATTGTCTGGAGTTAGGAAGACCTTTCCCACGAGCAGGTGATTCCAGAATTGTCTGTTATGGGGGTTTTTACACCTTCTTCTATAGCAGCTGGTGCTGGGCACTGTCAAGCACTACAAAAGGGTGTGTTATACCATGATATAGCGGACATGATGAAAATCCAAGACAAGGCAAACTGACATTTTACCTCAATATAACTGATTGAGGTAAACTCTAATCTCCCCCTTGGGTGCAGCTCAACCAGCTTCACCGTGATAAAACTACAGCTTGCCCTGTCTTCTACACCAGGATTCTCCACCATGTCGGCTATCTCACTGTAAAAATACACCTCTTTGGAGTGAAGACATGACCTTCGAGGCCAGATACTGGAGTAGCCATTCCCCTGATCTGATTCAGACTGGCTGTTCCTAAATCTCTACTACAGGGGCGAGGTTTCATCAAGCTATATTTGTAAAGCACTTTCAGACCCAACACACATACAGTGTAAGCACAAACTCTCATTGGCTATTATAGGGGCAAAAGCCTCTCCAGCTGTCACTGACAGCACCTGTTTTGTTTCCAAGAGTATTGCTTATGGGCAGGGGGCAGGTGTATCAAAATTCAGAACATGCATGTTCATCACACGGAGGAGGAAAAGCCCAGCCCCAGAACAGCCTCTCAGGTGCAGACTCTGAGGTCCCTCTCCCACAGAGCTCTGCATTCAAGGCTACAGCTCCAGAAAGCAGCCTGAGAACAATTTAGGCTTAACAGACTCTCACCCTAATCTGCTCAGCTAACAAGATGTGCTGAATCAGCACCACATCTACAGGGCTATTAAACGAAAATGAGATGGTCAAGAGAGCACTATGTGATCATGCAAAGGTACAGTAACTCGTCACTTAAAGTCGTCCCGGTTAACGTTGTTTCATTGTTACGTTGCTGACCAATTAGGGAACATGCTCGTTTAAAGTTGTGCAATGCTCCCTTATAACGTCGTTTGGCAGCCGCCTGCTTGCAGGAAGATCAGCCCGTTGCAGCTAGCTGGTGGGGGCTTGGAACCAGGGTGGACCAGCAGCCCTCCCATCAGCTCCCCGCTCCCCTAAGTTCCCTGTGCTGCAGCTGCCCAGCAGGCTAGCAATCGGCAGTTCAGCTGTCCCTCTCCGCACTGCCATGTGCTGCTCCCGCCCTCTGCCTTGGAGCTGCTCCCAGAGACTCCTGCTTGCTGTGCGGGGAGGGGGCTAATGTCAAGGTGTCCCCCTCCCCCCTGCACCCCACTTACCCATTCTCCATATAGAGCAGGGAGGGGACACGGACGGAGAGAGAGAGAGAGAGCTTGGAGCAGCAGCTGCTGTCTCAACTTCCTGATCCACTTAAAAAGACAATGCACTTAAGAGTGGGTCAGCTTAATTAAAGGGGCAGTGTGCATCTCTCTCTCCCAAACACAAGGTGTGTGTCTGTCTCTGTCTGCTATGCTGTCTCCCCTCCCTTGTGTTCGTGCTGCCTTGTGTGAGAGGCTACATTAACAACAATGTGTTAACCATTGAGGGCTCAGCTGAGTGCTAGTTCATCATTTAGCAGCAAGGCATTCGCTGGGAAATATCCCTCCCTCTTCCACCCTCTAACTTCACCACCTCAACCAAACTTCACAAACATCATAGCTGTGAACAGTATTAAATTGTTTGTTTAAAACATATACTGTGTGTATATCTATATAATATATAGTTTTTTGTCTGGTGAAAAAAATTTCCCTGGAACCTACCCCCCCCCACCCCCCCATTTACATTAATTCTTATGGGGAAATTGGATTCACCTAACATCATTTCACTTAAAGTCGCATTTTTCAGGAACATAACTACAACGTTAAGCGAGGAGTTACTGTACAGTGTACTGCCTGAACACTCCTCACATGCAGCCCAGGGCATTCTGCAGTCACTCAGAGCTGCAGATGCACTGAAGCACACACGATTGCTAAAGGATCATATAAATGATTTCATCAAGCAAAGCAAATAACCCTCACACCTGAATGCCTAGAGATGGGAGGGGACGGACACCCCTTCCCCTTCCCCCCCCCCCGCATGGCACTCCTCCACCTCTGTGCAGGCCAAGTGTCCCACATATTTCTCAGCCCCCAGAACTTTAAACTTTCCTCCTCCCAAATCCAACTCTGCACCCACAAAGCCTGACTCCAAAGACACCCACGGAGCCCATTACCACCACTCCTTCCTCGTCAGATAGGGATTGCTGTTCAGTTACATAAGGACTTCTCTGCCCCAAACACCTGAGAATGCTGCCTCCACAGAGCCACCAGCCCTGGCAACCAAGAGACCTAGAAGGCGCAGTGACTCAAGCCAGTGTGCTCGCATGGTTCTGCAGAGCACTCCAGCTGTGCTGTCAGGCAGCCCAGCCCCTGGGGTTAGATATGTAACAGACTCAGCCCTGTGGGTTTCCTGGAATGCTGCATTGCATGACTGCTTAGAAGGGTTAGTCCCCTCCCTGGCAAGAGTAGTATCCTCTGTACTGTCAACCTCAAGCCTTCAAAAATGACAAGTCAGGCTCCAAACAATCATGAGCTTTTAGAAACAAATATTGGGTTCTTTGGTTTTTTTCATTTTCCTTCTGGTTTTCAAACCTTGAGAGGTCACACTTAAAGCTTTTCTCAGCAAGTCTGAGGGCTACAAGCTCTTTTTTGTTTGCTTTTTGTAAAAGTAAGTTGAGATTCTGATGTGTTCACCTGACTCCAGGAGCAGGGGCTTCGAGAAAAACACCAAATATGGAAAGATCTGTGATAAAACCACAAGCGTTGGCAACGCTGTATCAGTCATATCAAGCTAAACAGAAGAGGGCTTCCAGAACATAGAAATGGCCATACTGGGTCAGACCAATGGTCCATTTAGCCCAGTATCCTGTCTTCCGACAGTGGCCAATGCCAGGTGCCCCAGAGGGAATGAACAGAACAAGTAATCATCAAGTGATCCATCTCCTCTCGTCCATTCCTAGCTTCCCCTGCCGTTGGCAATACAGAGGTACAAGCAGGCAACATAGAACACATGTATGTGAGTCTAATTCCCAGGTGCACAAGCACAAGATCGAAAATTCTTAAGTTTGCTTTGGCTGCAGCAGCCAGCATGTTCTATTCAATACGGAGCCACGTGCTTATTTGGCCTATTTGAATTGAATCATTTGAATTGAGGGGCACTAGTGAGTCACTTCCCACCTCCCTCTGCCTCCTGGCAGCCTTGATTTCTTTACCCCAATTGATCACAGGCACACACACAGACATGAAGTCCAGCCTCACACCTCACAGGCTCTCTCGGCAGTTTGTACAGTTCATGTTTCCCCTGATGTTTCATGTACATTTTCCTGGCCCTAGCATCTCTTGAGGGCGTGGACATTTTGTGGAAGTTTCTACACATACGCCAACGTGGCACAATTCTGGCCTGCAATGCCCTTGCTATTCTAGTGCACAGACCATCCCTCGGGCCTGTCAAAAGAAATCTGGGTCCCTGGTACATTATGTTCTCTGGGGTCCCTACCCCTTCCCAATTCACCCTGGTTACAGACATTTGGGGGGGGAGCTGAGCTCAGGGCCCCCGTACAATTGTCTCTGCCTTTCTCCCTCTCTCATCAGCCTGCCCTTGGCTCTATCTAATGCAGGGGTCGGCAACCTTTGGCACGCAGCTCACCAGGGTAAGCACCCTGGAGGGCCGGGCCGGTTTGTTTACTTGCCGTCTCCGCAGCTTTGGCCGATCGCGGCTCCCACTGGCTGCGGTTCGCCGCTCCAGGCGGGCCATGGGCCAAAGGTTGCCGACCCCTGATCTAATGTATCTCAGTTGTGGTCTGCAGCTTTCCTCTCCTGGAAATTCCATTACTGGGCTACAAAACTTCACCTCTACACCTCACTTCCAGCCCACTGTGCCCCA